GTACTTAATCCAACCTGCAACCTCATGGTCTGGCATATTCCCAATTCTACCATTACCATCAAGCTGGGGGATCAACCCTGGTTTAATGAAAGGTGCAGTAGCAGCTCCTGGTATATCTAAGATATGGTGTGAAGCTATTGAAGCTACAGCACAGGACTACTTGCATGCCAAATTTTGGAAGCAGTGTTCAACAGATAGGGCTAAGTGATCCCACAACCCACAGACCAGATCTAAGCTTTGCTGTCCTGTCACATCCAGTCTTAAATGGCAGTGGACAATAAGTCAACTAACAGCAGGAGAAGGCACCACATTTATCGCCATTGCCACTGGTGGGGAAGCCTAGCACATCAGTGCAAAAAATAAGAGCATAGTATTTGTATCCACCTTCAGACAAAAGAGTCGAGTTGACGATTCATCTTGACATCTCCAGAGATCTCCAGTGTTACCAGAGATCTCCAGTGTTACAAATGCCAATCTTCAGCCAATTCAATTCACTCCACATGATATCAAAAAACAGCTGAAGGTACTCAATATTGCAAAAGCTTTGGGCCCTGACAATGTTCTGTCAATAATATTGAAAATGGGTATTTCAGAACTAGTTGCGCCTCTATCTAAGCTGTTCCAGTACAGGTACAAAACTGTAATCTACATGGAAACGTGAAAAACTGCTCAAGTGTGACTATACTGTAGCTTTAAGAGGTGCATTTTGTCCTGTTTTTTTCAATGAAGAAAGGTTGAGATGGAAGTGTTAAACAGTCTGCTCAAAGCCAATAAACAGCTTGTGAAGCCTTGTGGTTTTGTTTTTAAGTTGGAATAATAGAAGCAGCCTGAATTGGTGGGGTCAAACTCCCACAGAACCAGCATTTTTAGTTTCACCTTTCAGCAGTTGCTAGGGTTCTGAAGCTGAATGTGGAAGCTCTTAGTTCTCTCTCTATTACAGCTAAAAGCTGCGGTTCTGCTCCTGCTGCTACAACTGTTTTTGAGACAATCTGTTTTACTGAATTTGCCTTTGCTGAGGGTGTCTTTATGCGATGTTACTATATTGGAACAGTTAATTAGTAGTTTATATATATATATTAAGTATTTCAATAGAGTTATAGTTGAGCCAATTATTTTATTTTTATTTTGTCTGTATTTTAACTGTAGTGCAAAAACAAAGTGTTTTCCTTAAAATCAAGTAGTTTGACCAATCAAATTGCATCCGGAACACAACCCCTTACACTGCATTAAAATAAGAAAAAGTTAGGGTCTAGGTTTTCTCCTGAAAAAATTTTGAGAGTGTTTGATCTGGTCCATAAAATATGTCTGGTCCACAGAAATCAGGACAAATCAAACATGGCCAACCAACACCCGAACAGTCTACTCTTGATTAACAAAGTGATTAAAGGGCGTCATCAACAGTGCTATCAAGTGACCCTTGCTGCACAATAATCTGCTTGGTCATGCTCAATTTTGGTTCTACCAGGGCCACATGACTCCTGAGCTCATTTCAACCATGTTCAAAATATGGCAAAGCAGCTGAACTTCAGAGATGAAATGAGAGAGATCTCATTAAAAATCAAGGTGCAGGGCTGGATGAACACAGCAGGCCAAGCAGCATCATAGGAGCAGAGAGGCTGACGTTTCGGGCCTAGACCCTTCTGATGAAGGGTCTAGGCCC